CTGTTATTTTCCACAAATGTTCACTTAAAATCTCACTGTTATAAAAATCATTTGATATTCACATTAATATGTTTTCCAACATCTCTTCATTATCATAGTCCTTGTCATACTACATAAAAGCAAAAAAAAAAAAAAGTTTCTAAATTCTCATTTCAAATCATTTTCTGGTAAGTTTGGCTTGGTAAATCGAAAATTCTTATAAGTGAAATGTGTTGTAAGAAAATGAAAACTGCCTTCCCTGGGGGTACACATTCTTCTCTGCAATCTGGGGGAGTATTTGAAATGCTCTGGCAGAGGAAAAACCCCTCTTCAGGGCCATTCCATAACTCTGAACTTAGGATGGATTATCAGCTCCAAGAGGCAAGACCTCACTTTCTCACAAGCTCAGCACCACCCAAATAAAGAACTGATCATGATGGTCCTGAACTTGAGTAAATCCAGACCTTGTCCTCTCTTCAGAGGTCCCCATCAGAGCTCTGCACATGCTGGGCCATCCATCTGAGCCAGCCTGCACGTCCAAGAAGAGCACATCTGCTCTGACGCCCAGAAAGAAGAAAGGAAAGCCTGGAAGACATATCCTCTTCTCCTGTCCAGATTGCTCCTATTGCTCCTATAGGCTCCTCCAACCTGGAACAGGAGTCCCCTCTCTTATGAAAGAAAGCCTGACCTTTTGAAACTTACATAAAACCTCCATTTTGAATAACATGACTTTTTTTTTCATGAGAAACTAAAAGGTAAGGGAAATTTTGCTGAATCCTAAGATATAATTAATTATATCCTAGCATTGTAATAAAGATCATTACCTATGCATCAGAAAAAACCCTCCATTTGGGAATAAGCTCATCATGAATTAGGCTGTCAAGTCACAACCACTGCCATCAAAGAATTTTGGAAGAATTCCTTTAGTGCAATTACTGCTGATGCCACAAACCAGTGAGAAAGATCAGCATCATGGCTTTCAAAGTATATGGTATTCACTTCTCAACATGGCATGTGGGACATTTTAAGTCACTTCCTTCTCTTTTCATTCTTCATGTCATTAATTATTCATTTTTTTATTCATTAACTCAATAAAAATGAACACCTATTATGTGCCAGACATATACGTACTACTGTGTGCCAAGATACAGTAGTAATAATAACATAAGAACAGTAACCCTACCTAACACAACTATACTGCTTGCCTACTTTGTGCCAGACACTATTCTCCTGTATACCTTGGCTTATTTAATCCTTGCACCAATCTCCTGAGGTTAAGTACAATTATATGCTCACTCTGCAGATGAGCAACTGAAGTACAGAGAAATTAATTCCCTAGGTCATACAGTCAATGAGTACCAGAGCCAGGGTTCAAACCCACATCTTTTTACTCCAGTGTCCATGATCTTGACCTCTATGCTATATGAAAAACAGACATGGATTTAAAGAACTTACAGTATACTGGAAAAGACAGACATTAAACAAATAAACAAACAAACACATTTGTAATCTCAAATACTGATAAGATATATAAGAAAAGAGCAAGGTGCCCTGAGAGAATGGTATAACATTGCCAAGGCTCTTCCTGCAGGCTAAGAAATGCAGTAATTACCTCAGGTGATTTTCATCTCAAATAAATGACAAAGGTATAAAATTTAAGAAAGCAAGCTGATTAAAAAGAGCTGGGGAAAACTAAGGCCGGGAGGCTGGGGAAGGTAACTAAGCAATTCAGCCCTTAACCCTTGCCACAGAGCCTCGCCATCTTGGTGGCCCTCCCTGTTGGTACACTCAGAATGACCAGAGATAGGGATCTGGTGAATGCAACCCTCTCCTCCTATCTTATCCCTACCAAATATGGAAATCTAACTGGATCCGGTGCCCCTTATTCACAGATGAAACCAAGTACCTCCTCATCTGCAGTTTTCCACCAAAAAGTCTGTGGTGGATGTCTAAAACCCTTAAATTCTGCCTTAATGCTTTAGCTTATTAAAAAAATAAAAGATTTCATTGGCCTATAATGGGTAAAACTTGCGTTTCTGAAAACAATTAAAGACATGGTTGATACTCAATAAAACAAACAAAACCCCACCTTTATGAAACTTGGCTGTTAATAGACTTGGAAACAGATTGAAATACTGATTTGAAAACAAATACATGAAAGCAGAGAGTCAAGCTCCCAGAAAGACAAAATCCCCTTGCCATCCTGATTTAAAAAAAAAAAAAAGATCTGTACTTTATTGCCCTGCTTGACAAGTACAGATCTACCTCTTTCTTATTAGTAGAGAAATCATACAGAAAGAAGAAACATCTCTCTTCTCAAGAAGTTGTCTCTCTGTGAATTGGGGAAATTTTGCATCTCTAATTATTATTATTTATTTTACACATTATTTTTCTGTCTTCAGTCTTTATGTTTGGCATAGTCCCTAAGTATAGGATTACATCTGGAAGAAGTGTGACATATTAGCTCCTAATTCTGTAGTTTCACTCCACTGAGGTTGATGATTCAGAGGGGAGAGTGCGGAGAGGGCAGGTGTTCATAATAGCACCATTAATTATGTGCGCTTTGCACATCTAGGTAGAAAGCAACATCATTTTCAGGTCCAATAAATAAAGTACTTTTTCTAGTTCATTGTTCAGAATCATAAAAAGAATAATTCTTGATGTTGTATTGCCACAAGAAAGTCTCCTGCTTCATCATCTTAGGGTATCATTTCATATGGGATATTCCACCTGGCTCTGATATACGAGGTTTAGTAAAATACTTAGATAACTAAATACACAACTTAATCACTTGACTTCCAATGAAGGTTAAACAGTCTCAAGCAAACGGCACATTAAGTCTCATCTTAATAGTTAGAAAATTACACTTGAGAGGCCTAGGTACACTTAAATTATGAGAAGCCTTCTTAACATTAAAAAGAAATAGCCTAAAGTTTAGAAACTAAACTTTGACAGTAACTTACAATACATTATGTTAAATTTACTGTTAGTGTCATGAGATTTTAAAAACCTTAAAAGCATGTTAAACAAGACTTTCTTCAGATATACCTTCTTTATCCCATCCTTTAAAAACATCTGTGAATAAAACTGACTTTAACTCTTAATATAATTGACTGATTCATAATCAATTCTTTTTTAATTAATATACTTCAGTAATAAATAAGATTATGTCCTTCTGTGGTTTACCTAGAAATAAAATACAAAATAAATTGAAAATAAAGATTTTTAAAGTATGCCAGAGACATAGGGATCTGGACTTCTCCGAAAATGAAGTAAATGTCCTTATATCTTCATCAGTACAAAGGTTATCATTACATTTTACATTGATATATGGGAAACAGGACAGTATACTGATGTCAAGTTTCTGAAAACATGACATCATATTTCACTACTGCAGAATAAATGATTTTTGTGTGCTCTATTCCAGGAAGAGGAAAGAAAAAAACATTGTAATAGTTGCAGTTTGTATTAACTTCAAAATGGTAATTCTTTACCAAAGATAGTTTTCTTTCCTTTTTAAAACAACAACAACTTTGGCTTAGAGCACAAAATCTCATAAAAATAAAATATCTTGTAACATGTTGAGAAATCACCTGCAAATTACTTTCAGACCTTTGAAAAAGAATCTAATTTGAATCACCAGTCTAAATAGGTCATTTAACTTAGAAAAATTAAAATTAGCTGTGCAGGGTCAATTCTTTTTTTCTAAAGCATCTGCATCCTCAACGTCCTGCTATCTTCAAAGTCAAACCAGAGCTAAGTGCCAAGAACAACAATAATATATGAATTTATTCCAAATCTCAAAGTTAGTCTGCTCTTGAAATGGCCATAAAAGACAACATTATATATAAAAATGGGGGGGAGGGGTGCTTCAAGAAGCTGGGGGTGGAAGGACAGAAGGAAAAGCAGAAAACTCATATTTCAGAAGAATAATGGTATATTTTCTGGGGGGGGTGTTCTCTACTGGTGTGCATTTCTTGCCTCTCATATGCACATGTTCACCGTATATGGCAAATCAAAACCAGCTGAGGCATACTTAACACAAAGCAAATACTTCCAAACAAGTTCATTCTCCCACAAGCTTCTCCTATAGTAAACTAGCAGTATAAGATCATGAACTTAATGCTCTTGTCCGGCCCCCTTCAGGACTTAATCTTCCTGTAACATTCTGGTAAACTCAGGGATCAAAGCCCTACTCCCCAGAAAACCTTCCCAAGCATAGGAAAAACTACAAAATCTTGAAGGTAACACCTTTAAGAGAACAATAAAATAAAACAAAATACAAATGAGAATGTGGCTGCCTGAGACATCCTATATCCCTTCACAACCAGACCATCCATAAAATCAAAACACAAACAGGAGGGTGTCAAGTGTTGGAGGATGGAGTCTGCCTTTAGAAGGCAGGGCACCCAAGGTGACTAGCAGAAAGGGAATCGGGATCACGGGAGGTGGGGAAAGGAGTCAGTTTTGTTTCAGGATTCTCCAAAGCCACCAGGAAATGCACCCCCATCCTTTCTGGGTTAAAAGTAACTTTGATGCTCAGAAAAAGTACTCTCATGTTCTCTAGCTAGCAACCATCTATCATTCACAGGCAAAGAGTGATCAGAGACACCAATGAAACAAGCTTTCCTCTCTGCCCATCTTCCTAAAGCCACTTCCCCAAAACCGAGATCTTGAGAAATCTTGATTCCCCCAAGATTTCTCTGTTTAAAGATGAAATGGAAGGACCTGTGCTCTGACAAGGAAGCAAACTGAAGACGTGACATTGGGGAATCGCGAAGGAACATTCTTAGCTACATTTTTTCTTAAAAGGGTAAAACCCAAAACGGAATTCGAATTTCTTCACCTCCAGATGGACGATAAAAATGTTATAACTTCCCGGGACAAGCAACTTCACTCCAGCTCTCAACCACCCTCAAGAAGCGGTGACTGAAACCGTCCCAGAGAGCCGCAGAGCAGGCTGACCCTCCCTGCACTACAATCACTCCAAATCCGCTTTTCGCCTCGCTGCCAGCTCCTGCTTAGTCCCTCAGCTCGCGCCCTGAGCCCCCGCTTCTTCTCCGCATCTCTAGTTCGTAGGGGACTCGGCCCAGCAACCGCCCTGCCTCCATCGCGTCCCCTCTGGGTGGCGTGCCCCACACTTTGGAGGCTCTCGAAAGCCCCGGGACGAGACGCTGGTGTCGAGGCTGGGGAACCCCGGGGACTCCGGCCTCCAAGGGCTCACGCCTGAGCGGATTCAAGTTGCTCGGCCCCCAGCGGAGCGCACGGTCCCCCCTGTCCCTCCCACTCCCGCCCCTCCCCGGCTCGAGCGCCCCGGGTCCCCCCGCCTCCGCGGAGGGGAGCGCGCACTCACCGGAGGTGAGCTGCATCCAGGCACAGATCTTGTACACCGTAGCCGTGTTGCAGAAGAAGAAGAGGGTAAAGCAAATGATGCAGGCGATGATGAGCATCATGGAGAGGCCGATAAAGAAGGAGGCGGCTTTGAAGGCTCCCGAGGGCAGCGTGGAGAAGTCCGTGAAGCTGCCCCTGCAGGTCAGCTCCCGAGAGAAGCCGTTGCCGATGCAGTAGTGGAAGAGCCCGAAATAGCCGGCTTGCGGGGTGTCCACGCCGTCGCCGATCCAGTAGGGCTGGATGAAGCACACCACGTTGACGATGGCAAAGCAGATGGTGAAGATGGCCCACAGCACGCCGATGGCCCGCGAGTTCCGCACATAGTTGGTGTGGTACAGCTTGGCAGCCTCCTGAGCCGGGAGCATCGCGGCGGCGGCGGCGGCAGCGGCGGCGGCTCCGGGCATTCTCCCCCTCCTCCTCCTCCTCCTCCTCCTCGTCCTCCGCCTCCCCCCGCCTGTCCGCGCTCAGGAGACACACTCACCGAGCCGCGCGCGCTGCAACTCCCCTGCCTCCTCCTCAGCCCAGCAGCGCCAGTTCCAGAGTCTGCATCCTCGCTCCCGGAAGGAGGGCGGGGGAGCGCCGAGCACCCCTCCGGCTCGCCTGGCACAGCCTCCCGGCCCCCCTCCCTCCCTCCTGGTCCGGGCTGCAGCCCTCCTCACCGCCCTCCGCCCCTCTTCCCGCCGCCGCCGCCGCTGCAGCTGCTGCAGCTGAAAGCGGCAAATCCCGCGCTGGGCGGCGTGGCGCGCGAGCTCGGGCGCCCCCCCTCGGTTCCCGCCTTCCGCCTCCCTTCACGCCGCGAGCCCAGCGGCGCGGAGAACCTCAGCGACCCTGGGACGACCCTCAAGTGGCGGGCTTGGGCCGGGGACGCAAGCCTAGAGTTGGGGAGGGGGGACCTCAGGAGGGGGCGGGAGCACCCACAGGGATCCTAGAGGCGATCCCAGGATCCCGTTGGTGTTAGTGGCCGGGCGCCGGAGGCTCGTTCTGAGAGCGTTTCAAGCACCGCACGGCAACGTGCTTCGACCTCTGCATCTTTGCAGACGCGCTAGGGGCAGCGCGGCAGGTGAAGGCGAGAGACGCCAGGGGAATAGAGGCGTGGTGCCCCAAGAGGCTCCCAGTGACAACCACAGAACACCGCCCCCGGCTAACTCTTCGGTGGCCTCGGGTCGACGAGGTGGAGACAGAAGTTAGCCAGGAAACTGGCAGACAATAACGTAAAAGGCACACCTCAAGGGTGGTCTCATACCAGCTCAGCAGAGCTTATTTCCTCTTCGCGTCCCGCCGCCCCGCCCCCCATGCAGCCAGATGAACTGTAGCCTATTGATGCTCTATACTTTCCTTTAAGTCAGGTCATTTTCGCCACAAATCCTGCCATAGATGGGGCCTGTGGGGCATAGAAGTGGCTGTGTCACCGAAATGTATAGTTTTTCTGAAAACATCTGGTATTTTGGCCAGTGTTCTAATTCTTATACAAATATTCATTGGCAGCACTGGGCTGGGTGCTAAGGATACTACGACGACAGCAGATAGTTGTTTTCGTTCCTTGTCCAGGTATTTCACCCACCCCACAACTAACCAGAAAGTTCTTTTCAGAGTAATTTCCTCTAAATTATCCATATATAACCCCTTACATTTTCATGTGGCATTGCTGTTACACACGCCTGCACTTTGTGCTGTTTCCTTAGCTTAATGTTTTCACTTTGCAGTCTTTCTGTTGCTCTTTTAACAGTCCCTGCCTTTCAAACTCCCTTTCTTTGTTTCTATTTGTTACTTTTTTGGTTCCTTCTGACTCTGATATAAAACGTGTAACCCCTACTCAAAGCAGTGAAACCAGAATATTCAATGGCAGCATCAGATTTTGGTAACAAGCCATTTTGAACCATATGACTGCTGAATTCTCTGAGCAGAAGGGAGAGAGTTCAGTTAGAATTTGACCCTTAAATCTACACTCAATCACACACCTTATTATAATGCAGAAACATACGTAAGCTCCTTGACACTGTCTTGCCATTATGCCCAATCTGCCCAGCTTCTTAATAGGACAGTGAGACACGTGAGATACCACGTAGAACATGAAGTTAGCAGGAAGAGGTAAGAACACTCAGAATGGTTCGGTTTGGAGGGGTGGCTACTGGGGACCAAGGAAGGAAAGCTCCAAAAGGCATTCGGCTACATAAGTGGCTATTATATGGAAGAGGGGTCACACCCTAAGTGGTGAAGACCAACCATGTCCCTCATCTAATAACCTGAAGATTTACGATTGTATGGGGAGAGAGGGGAGGTAGTGGAAATAGGGATGTGGGACGCAGAAGCTAAGTAAGGGATTGACACTGGGAAAGAATTTAAAAGGGTGAGTGTTGGAATCTTACATTCAGTTTTTCCTATAGGCGTGAAGTTCAAGGTCCACAAGGCAGGACTTTGGAAGTCAAGAGGACAGCGTTAAACAGTAGCATGAGACCTGAAAGCTTAGGCGATGACTAAGAACTTACAAATCTGGTTGTAGACTCTCAGAAGGTCTTTTAAAAATCAGAGGGATTGGGGAGGGGGATGGGGAGGGAAGATGACCTAAATATGAGCCAGCCCAATATAACACTTGCAAGTCTCTAAAAATATAATTCGTGATGATGCTCCGTCAGTGCACTGGTGGCAATGGAGGGTCAGGACTTCTGTTAGGTTGCATCTGTTTTAACTCCCCTGAAATTGCTGTTAAATCAGAAAATCAGAAGTGTTTTAACATGGAAGGAGGAAGAGGAAAGGTGAGGGTAATTGGATTTATGGGGCCATCTGGCAGGCCATGTGTCCCCGGGGCAGAGATAGCTTTACAGCAAGAACTGACAGTAATTTCTAGTGACTCTTCCAAGCCCTCAAATCCCCCCAAACCTGCTTGTATAAAGTGGTCTTTCTGGGCTTCCCTGGTGGCACAGTGGTTGAGAGTCCACCTGCCGATGCAGGGGATATGAGTTCGTGCCCCAGTCCGGGAAGATCCCACATGCTGCGGAGCGGCTAGGCCCATGAGCCATGGCCGCTGAGCCTGTGCGTCCGGAGCCTGTTGCTCCGCAACGGGAGAGGCCACAGCAGTGAGAGGCCCGCGTACCGCAAAAAAAAAAAAAAAAAGTGGTCTTTCTTTAAAATCAGTGCCTAAAAGAGATCTTACTGTTCCCCTAGGGTGGTTGAGATGGAAGGTTGCTGAGAGGGGAAAGGATGAGAATCAAAAAGCCTGGTTTAGATCTCAGTGCTTAAATTGACTTTACAGGACCAAGAAAAGACTGGCGAGTGACTCAGATTAAAATGTCGTGATTCAAAGAGCTTTTCTATTTGAGTCGTGCCCAAGGAGAGCCTTATTCCTATTTCAGTTTTGGAATTGCCTCTGGGTTCATGCTCAGTATCACTATGCCAAGGGACACACTCAAGGTGTCCCCTCTTATCAACAGCAACTAGGAACAGACCAGTGTTGGTGTATTGCTGACCTAAAGTGACCCCTTCCCCGTGAGAATCAGAGTTGTTGCTCCTTGAGGTGAGGGGTCACTCAAGGGTGTACTGGACCCTTCCAATGGCCTTTCTCCCCACTTTTATCCTTCCCTGCACTACAAAAGATTTCCAGGGTAAAGCAGGATCTCCCAAGACTCTTGGAATCAGGGAAGAACTGGAATACATGTAAACTCTTCAGTTGCCATCGATGAATGCAGATTGTCCTTCTATTTCTTCCAAAATCCCCCCGTTGCCCATCTCCAACCTTGCCCTTGGCAACCAGAAACCCCAGAGATAAGACTGTCCCTATCCTTAATCTAAAGCTTTAGTCTGGCACCATGCAGATTTTAGGAGCTCAGACAGCTAAGCATCTGGGCAACTAATTACATTCATCAAATGTGATGTGACCAGGACAGCTGTTTGGGGGAAGGGGAAATAATAAATCTAGCCTGGTTCATGCTAAGAAGTTACTATTGATAGAAAAGTATTTTGAAACTATAACATGATTCATATGTGCTAAATAACTAGTAGAAGTCAGTGGCATTGACAGCATCAAATTAGAAACACTGAGCACTCAAATCTCAAACTTCACTGTTAAAAATGTTTTTCTCTTTCTGCCACCAAGGGTCAGTAGTGAGACCCAGTTTTACCCCAAACTGTGTTTTAATGTTAGGGCTATAAAAGAGAAAACAGAAGAAGAATAGTTGGGCTGTGTAACACTACTCAAAAGATTCCTGGTGAGTAAAAGGACTAAATGTTTTGATCCCAAACTAATCTGTGACGGCTTGGGAGAGTATAAATGTTTTGCAGGACAAGGGACTTGGGATCCAAACCCAGCACCGTCTTCACCTAATCATGAGAAACCAAGGCTCTTGGGGGTCCTTTCCTCGTCTCTAGAATTATGGTGAGGAAGAGGGGAGGGACATCAGAGGAATTCGAAGGTCCCTTTCTACAGTAAAATTCTATTCTGTTCTACAAAGACTATTCCAGGATGACTTTGCAAAAAAAAAGATAAAATGCAGTACTTGAAAAAAAAAAAATGACATGAGACCTAACAAGAGATATCAGACTCTGATGATGCAAACATTTTATTTAAAATTGAGAATCCTTTCTGAGGATTGTTATAATTTTTCAGGCAGTGGGTACTTAGTATTTTCAGGTGAGTCATTGCTATGACCTTGGAAAATGGAGAAAAAGGTGATTTCTAAAATCTCTTACTTAATCAATGATTAGGGCCAATATTAGATCCCACTCCAGAATATAAAGATTCTAAAAATGAAGCTCTCTTCACTCACCAAGGGTTTCCCTCTGCCCCTCCCTCAATCCTTTTTTTTTTTTTTAAGAGCTTTACAGAAATCATGAAACATTTCTTAGTCACTAGGTTAGCATTGGCAATCAGATGGATGGAGTGTTTCAATGCCCCATACAAATCAAGATCAAATGATCACAAGGCTCTGATTTCACTGCACCTTGGTCTATACCACTTTGCAATGAGATGTGGACCTCCACATACAGAGAAAAGTGGGAAATAGAAATATCAGTCATTCTCTTTCCTGACCTTTTTCCTCTAGTTTGAATTGGATTCTGTGTAAGAGTTATCCCTTTTATAAGTTCTTTTCATGTTTCCAGAACCAGCTAAAACCATAGGCTATTTTCTTATAAGGCTAAACACCTCCAGCAGCCTATGTTAGAAGAGCTATCTCTCTGTTAACCCTTTTAAGCCCTTGAGGATTTCAGAACAATTCTGTCTGAAGGTAAGTAGTAACCTCTATTGAGTAAAATACTATGAAAACGTGACCATCACTTGAGGGATGATGGAGTGCTATCATATTAAAGTTTTAAGTTCAGTATGTAGGTTCTGTTCTCTTTCAAGTTAGTGCTGATTGGGCTTCCTGATCTTCAAAAAAAATGAATTCTATCTGCTGTTCATTCTGAACCTGCTTCACGGAGTTTCCCATTCAAGATGCACCTTGACTGAAAATCAACATTTTCATTTGGAACATCTACACTTGTATTTTTAGTATTGGGCTCATATTTGAAACTGCTACTTGAATTCTCTGCTAAAGGCATCTTTATCCACAAAACTTGTCTCTCCTACTAGGCAATCACTTGAGTCTCTCAAATCTCAGGTTTGGCCTTGGTGAGACTCTCCCCCAAGCCACATACTGTATACTTTAAGTCTTATAGTCCCAAACACCCCTCTAAATACGAAGAAAACCCACCCAGATGCTTTCTTTTACTACTATAGTGACACAAAAATATTAATCTTGATAATTCAGTACTTTTATTGAAGGGGCACATTTTCATGCCGATTTTAGTCAGCTTTTTCTAGAGAAGCAAACCAAACTCTCAGTTGCTTATAAACACAAGCATTTTCTTTTAACCCACATCACACAATGGTTGCTGGTGGCTAACCAAGGTCCAGGCAGTAAACCTGACTGCAGGTCTGCTTGTATTCTCATTCTGAAGTCCAAGTTGAAGGAGCAGCTCCTATCTGGGGCATGTTTTTGGCATAAGGACAGAAATGTAAGAGGCTAAGGCAAATTATAAAACTGTATCTAAAAACTTCTGTTCAAATATAGCATGCAGCATGTCATCTCATACTCCATTGGCCAAAGCATGTCATAAGAAAAAGCCAAAAGTGAAAGTGCTGGGGGCATATAATCCTCTTACCAGGAAACAAATGTGTGAAAAATTAAGAACTTTAATCAAATCCATCACATCCATCCTCTGATAAAACTTTAATACCAACTTACTTTTCAAACAGTTCAACTTCCTGGGAAGACTATATGCATATATGATTTTTGTTTTAAGGCTGTAGACTATTTCATTTTGAATAAATACTTCACCCCACTCACTGGTCTTTTTTTTTTTTTGGCTGTGAGGCTTGCAGGACTCCCACTCAAGGAGTGACTATGATTAAGGCAAGACAGTTGGGCTTCGGAAAGCCCTTCATCCTGACTCTACCCCATCAGGGTCTTCTGGGAGGAAGAATGACCTTCCCACCGTGGACAGATCTACTGACCAGGGACTGAACCTAGGCCCAATAGGGATACCCTGGAAATGAGAGAGCCATAGAAAAGCTAGAGAAACTCTCCACACACCTCCGGCCAAGGAATGACATGCACATTCAGAGGAGAAAAAAAAAAGGATTTGATGGAAAGTAAAAGTTGAGGAAGACTTGAGAAATGCTGGAGGAATCCATTGTCAGCGGATTGAAGCCTTACAGGTTTGATGTATTTGAGCACAGTCTCTACCCAAATCATTTCCTGACCACAAAGCTATGCACACTTAAGGGAAAACTCTAGGAAGGCAAGCTAAAAAATAAATATAATAATAATAATAAAAACTGAGCAGAGATATTAGCAGCCACACACCATGAGGGAAACAGATTCTGCAAGCTAAGTCCTAGCAAATTACTGAAAAAAAAT